TACTGTTTCATACGACTACTCTTTGACCAACAACAACAACAACAAGAATATGTGGCAGGCCTTACCCTAAGGATTTGACTGTCTTCTGACGTTACTTTCCCTGTGTGGTACATGCATCTGTTTCATCCTCATCTGCAGTTCTCARTTCTCTGGTTTGTCCATTTGTTTGTCTCCCTTCAGTTGTCAGCTGTAGGACTTCCAGATTTATCAAAATCATGCTGTCAAAATGCTGACTATATACAACTTTGCAGTAGAGAACTGTCCGGCAACTGTGAAATGGGATCAAATTGTGAAATGTTAACTTGCCTTTGATGGTACCCTCCTTCAAGAGTAGTCCTTCTGACTGCAGTGGAATACCAGATATATGTTATAAGGGTGCTTATTAGCATTAGTATTTTTAAAAAGCCTTCAAAGTACATTTTGATATGACACACTGATAAACTGAACCAGCAAACAGGTAGTGTGCATCTTAAAATACTCTTGAAATACTTAAGTCTCTGGACATGTTATGTCTTTTGAATTAGGTGTTAGCTCAAAATGTTGTCTTGCTTGTTTCCAGTTAGGAAAAGAAATGATGAGCAGTGTGGGCTAACTACTCAGCCTATTAAATAAATAAATAAATAAATAAAAGTATGAAGTCTGTTTCCTCAGCTCATGTCAAATCAAATAACAGCCCAAAATCTTCCTTCAGATTTTAAAATTTGTTTCAAGCAGCATTCACCCTAATATTCTTCCATGTTTTCCAGGGCAATGGCTCCAGTGCTTGTTCAGGCTTCTTCACTCTCTTGTTTGCTTGCTTGTTCTTCCAAGATATGGATCAGAGGAACTTAAATATTTATGAATTATGGAAAAGAGGCAGGCACACTTAAACATCCCCTTAAGCAACCAATCACTTCCCTCCTCCTAAAGAAATGTTTATAATTTGCTTCTGCCTGCGTGGCTGTGTGTATTAAATGTGCATGGCAGCCGTTTTGGCACGTTGCTAAAGCAGCAGCTTGTCGCATGGGCTATTAGGAGACATCCAGCAGATTAACAAACCTTACAGGGGATCACGTGGAACCAGCTCAGAGCTCCCTAGCATTCATGTGGCCTGAAATGCTGAGTTGTTTGTGCTTATATCCTAGTAACCCTGGATGTAAGTGCAGTTGTGTCAGGGGCACCGTTATGAGAATGTCGGTCCCACTGACTGAAACTGGGATTCAAGGAATTTTAAATTGATGTTTTCTTTATTATGCCTTGTTAAGAGTTCAAGGGGAAACAATGACTATAAATTAAAGCTTCGTAACAATCTTGGAAATGTTGCAACTATGAGAAAAGCCACTTGGTGTAGAAGGAATGTTTTAATTACGAAACACAATTGGAATTTAAACTCAGAGAAGCCCCAGGGAGAAGGAAAAGTCACATTTGTCACGTTTGTCACATTTGTATATTGTAACTTGGAGGCTAACCCCAATAGAGAGCTGAACCATATTTAGTATAAAGCCAGAAGCTGCCCATCTGCTGGGCAAAGTACCAAGAACTGGGGGAAGGAACTAAGCAGCGAGTGAGAGAAGGGGAATCTGTCCTGAACCACAAYAACAACAACAAGTTGAGAAGATGTAAACTCAGAAGAGAGCTCCCTGAGTCAATACCTGATATTCCTCAAACACAGTGTCAGAACAACCTGCGGAGCTTAGGCGTTTCTTGTCCAGGGGCATTGCAGTGGATGAATATGGAATCTGACTCATGCTTTCTTGGAACTGCCAAATTCTTTCTACACTCTATATCATGCCACTAATTTATCTACAGACCTAAAGGGATGATGCGACATGACTGGAAAAATGGAGATTCCAGCTCTGTTTGTAAGGGACTGGTAACCTGCATCTGGAAATAGAGCTAAAATAGGAATAGCAAGCTCTGAAACTGGAAGAAATGGGCCCAGAATCACCCTGGTTATCTCTAGCAAGGGGATTTGGAGTTGTTCAAGGGTGCCAGGAGTCTCACCAAATAGGGGCTACTTCCAGCTCCCCAAAGAGCAGAGACGGGACAGAATGAGTGCATAATCATTGTTTCCTAAGGAAAGAATTGTTTCTTTTTTTTTTTCAGTTTACTCTTACTGCAAAGTAAGTACAAARTCTTGCATCATGGAATTAAAAATAAAAAACAAAATAACTGTCTAAAACCATCTGAGGTTTCATATATTACAATACAGACAGTTTTTATGGACTTATTGCCTCTCATGCTTTCTCTCTTTTTATTTTAGTGTTATGGACATATGAACCATGGGGGATTTTTTAAGCTCATTTTCTATTTCCATTTTGGAGTAGAAATAGTAACTCATATGTACCAATTTAAGGAGTCAGTAGTATGGGAAGGTAAAGCAAATGTAAAGTCAATGTTTGGAACAAACTATCCTGTTCCTCASAGAGTTTGAACTCAAATGACAAAATTACAACACATATTGCTAAATTTAAGAAGCTATTCCAACTCCTCCATCACCACCAGTTTCTTGGCCAGATACCTCTGTAACAATAGCAGATAGCTCATTTCGTGTGTTCCAAAATAATCCAAGGTTTTGAAATCATCCACGAAGAACTAAAGCTATAATCAATTCAGCAAGACCAAAATACCTGATGACACAGGCTGCACTAACTCATTTCAAGATTCTGAAATACTAATTAGTGCTTCTAGTTGTTGCTTTTGAGCAGAAATAGAGGGCTAATGCAGTTAATGAGAATGAATCAAATAATAGCTTCCCAGTACCGCAAAATGTAAGAGCTGTCAGCCCACCTTTCTTATAAACCATTCCCTTACCAACCCACACTCTTTTGTGCTTTTCTAGACCTTTTTATAGCTCCCCAAATCCTCCACATGGTTTGACATCATTGTTCTAGTGGCTGTGGGAAGGGTAATTTTCCAATTTCTCATCTTCCAACTAACTGCTTTAAATGGCCCCTATCTCCTAATCTTCAGTGTGTTGCATAAGAAGAGACAGTGTAATACCAGCAAAATCTCAGCCAATGTTTTTCCCAAGTTTTATTGCACTTCCTGTGGGTGGATATTTCACAAATCAAACACCACAGAAACCTCCACCTGCTTTGGTACCATCAGAATGAGACTTCCAATGCACTTGGGTTGGCGGCCTTTGCTCCAGTTCTTCTCCTAGCCATGTAATCCTTTCCCACTTTCTCCCTGGAATCCACTGACAACTCCAGTATAATCTTGATTTTTCAAACACGACTTTTCAAATTACAAATCAATGAAACAAGCAAAATAGAGAGATCATGAGGACAATATCAAAAGAATAGCTTGCCAGGTTGGGGCATTTTAAGCTTCTCTTTATAAGCAAAATAGATTGTTCCCTGAATAACGTTCTTTTTACACATTTGTTAGTTTAAAACAATTGATTTACTTGAAGGTTCTTTATTTCATATAGCAGTGCAAATACTTTCTAACCTTAATTTAAACTGCAAAATCTGAACTCAATTTCTATGTGTTTTTCTTGGTGAACATTAGTGATTTATTGCCTTACATCTTTATGTGGAGGAGTGCTAAGCAAACTAAAGGTTATAACCTCAACTAGTGAAATGGCAATGTTAAAAAAAAAAAAAGAGAGAGAAAGATATGTTCAAACCAGGGTTTATTTTTGTTGAATATYGATATCTATATATGGTATAAAAAATGATCAAGCCATAAGTGACATGACAAAAATAAAAGGGAATTACTATTTTAACTTACAAAAAAAAMCCCTATTTCAGAGAGAAATATGTTTTATAAATTTTTATGCCTTAGAATCAGGATGTGTTGAATTAGGGACTTAAAACAAAAATGTTTTCATGCTTTCATAAAAACATAGCTGTTGCATATCCAAACTCTAAGAGTAACTGCTTGAAAACAAAAGCACAAAATAAAACAAAATCTACAAAATATATTCTRGCCGCAATAAAATAATTTGTTTGCAAATTTTTATCTGCCATCGTATAGCTTCTGTGTTACTTTCTGTGAGCGGGCCACGATTTTAGACCAGGAGAGGGACAAATTTAGGTCCCATCCACACCAAGTTTGGCTGCAGCCCCGTAACCTGATCCGTGTGCTCATGACCCTGCCCAGGCGCCGTGCTCGGCTTGCCCGAGTGGGCCTGGGCACAGGTGTAGGTGCCCTCCCGCACAGATCCGGGTGCTGGATTTGGGCTTTTGCATTATAAATGGCTCAGCAGACAACTGTTGTAATCAGGRCACCTGACTGTGTTATTGCTATATTATAGATTCTTCTGTAATGTTTTTCATCAGTCAACAACCAAGCAAATGTTTCATTAATCATTTTTTCACTTTTACCCTCATTTTTTTTCTTTATTTTTCCCACAGAGGTAGCCACATCCTCTTCAATGTTCCTCTAACTTTGATTCATTTTTTTTATAAATTTTCTCTAGGTAACGATAATAATTGCAATATATCTAGGCAGACCATCCTCAAAGATTTCATAAAATATTTTTTTTAAATACAGTTTTGCAGTGCAAAGTGATTTTTTGTTTATGGCACAATAACAATAATAAAAAACATCAGAAAGCTTCTTCCTATGCTTCTGTTTTAATATGAGATTTTATTTTTGCCAAACATAGCTTTATTTTCCGGCTTGTTCATTTACACTCAGATATTTTTTCTTGACAGAATACTCTTTTCTACAAGATGCTTAGACTTTACAGGCCTGCAGGAAGACAGCAGAAAGCAGAAGGATTTGCAGTCAAGAGCCTTCCTTTTTCCCTGTGCAGCAAATTTCAGCAAATTCCATTAAGTCAGTATCAGAGTTTAATCTTTTGCTCAGGTGTGAGTTTTCTTTCAGATAGCCTAATAACGTGAACTCAAAGGAAAAGATAATGTGGCAAACTGCCACGAGGACACTAATAAGCTCTAATCGCCCTAAMCAGTCTCACCTGGGACCACTTCCCACCCTCCCTCTGTACCTTGTCTTAAGAGCCTTATTTAAAGTCAGGGGCAAGCACATGTTTCTTTCCTAAGTTACTTGTTGAACGTGGTGTGATAGAGGGAACTTTTTCCAAGTTAAGAGGGGTTAATACCTTGTCAGATCAGGTGAGCACATTATTTAGGAAATGGACGCTGTCTGATTTTATGTCTTATAGAGGTGTAGCTGGAGTAACGTATCAATGGGGGTGCCAGTGGTTCTAGAAATCAAAGCAGAATCATGAAGAATTTTACTCTGCTTTGAAAGTAAAGGTAAATTCCTTGYATATACTACGAAGGTAGGTCTGGGAGTAGGCTGCCAAATGTTGGTGAAAATTCTGTTCACTGTAGTGTTAATCAGAGGAAAGTTGAAAAATCATTGTTACTCTTCTACAATAGGATTAAAGAAAATTTTATGCTTGAAGACATGCAGGCAGGTATTTGGCTTTTTTTTAGGACTGACCACAGATTTAGGAAATACATGGAGGTGGGTGTTCTAGGCCAACATTACTTCCCTAGAGCAAACACCTGAAAGAGGGAGAATAAAACTCAGATTTTCAGTGAGTTCATAATGACTATGTTTCTCAATGATATATACTCATGTTCTCTTATCATTTTGAGTATATTTGAATACAGTATGATGGCTCATRCTGATTATTTTTGTCCTAAACACAAAGGGTTTCATAGTATTATCTTGCAGCATTTTTCAATCCCTGCAAGATGTCTCTAATATTYTGTCAAAAAGGAAGAATTTAGGCTCATCTAGGGGTAGGGAGGGAAGATGTGCAAATCAAAAAACCTGAAGACAACAGCAGTGTGAGGATGGTGGCACGGGGCACCTCTGTGTGCCAGGAGGTTCTCAAGGACAACCATAGCAGGGCTACATTCCCATCCACAGCATGAACCAGTGGAAATAAAAACACCTGAGTCATAATGAGAAAACTTGCTGAAGGTCAAAGTTTCAACAGGAGGAAGGTGCCAGCGCTAGTACTGGAATATGCAGATACTGAGGCCAGATCTGTGCCAGGACAARCTCTGGTGTCAAGGCTGCTGTGAACAGGCTGTTCCTTTGCGTTTTGCTGATAGGTGGCAGCAAGTAACAAAAGGTKTTCAGGCTCTAGTCTTGTCTGCTCCTCCTGGCTGGAGAAAACAAAATGGTGCTACTCTAGCAAAAAGATGAGGATGTAAAAGATGAGGATGTGGTTTAACATACAGCTTAAGTGATATGGCTTTGTCCGTTGTGCTTTTATTCTCCAGAATGCTGGATATTTTCTGTCTTCTATGTGAATGGTTTTGTTCTGTACTGGGTGTAATGGTAGCTTCTCTGGTTGCTGGATGTGCCTCAGGAAAAGCTCTTTCTGCATCTTCATCTCCTTTTAATCTCCCTCTAGGCTTTAGATTCAAGCATGTGAACAACTCCTTTGGGTTATGCTGCCTTGCTGCTAGGGAAAGGAGAAAATTATGTTAATGTCTCCTTATTAGGCAAGTAACTATTGCTTTGGTGTTTATTGTAAAGGCAAGGTTGCCCTGCTGTGGTGAGGGAAGGCTGTGCTCATGYGGAGAAGGCTTGTACAACTATTTCAGTATCGAATTTGGCCTAAAGAGGCTTTTAGGAAGAAGTTAATACAGGGAGGGAGACTGCTCCCGGTCTGCGGCGTTTTAACATTAAAGGGAAATCTCCGCGGCCGCCGCCCCCTTAAGCCACACGAGCCGCGCGTGCGAGCGGCCGCCTTCGCGCGAAGCTTGAGCCTCGCGCGCTGCCGTCCGGCGCGCGCCGCTCGCGCGCTGCCCCCTCCCCGCCGGCGCCGCCGCCATGTCCGCGTCCTACGAGGTGTTCGGCCGCGTGCAAGGTGCGGGCGCGCGGCTGCGCATGCGCGCGCGGGGGCGGCCGTTGCGGCCGTTGAGGGGGAGCGGGGCCGTTGCGGGGCGGGGGGGCAGGGGTGGCGGCGGCTCGGGGCCCTGCCCCCGGCGGGTCCGCGTCCCGCAGCGGGTCGTTGCCCGCAGCCTGGCGAGCGTTTTACGTTAGGTGAAGTTGTCCGCGGCGTTTTTCCCTCCCACACGCGTTGCGCTAACGCCTCTCTGTCTCCGCAGGTGTCTGCTTCCGAATGGTAAGGCGCTGGGCCGCGTCCCCGCGCCGCGGGTCGTGTTTCCCCGGCTAAAAATACGGCCCCGGTGTGCGGAGCGCAAGCACGGGCGCTTGACCTTTCAGTTCTGTGCCGGCTAAGTATTGCACGTGGATCTGGAAGGCCGTAAATGCCGCTTTGAAATTCCTGTTGCACTAAAACACACTTCAAAAAAGTTTATTCGTATAATGCTTATTTTTGTATAGAACTTGGTAATAGCATGTGGCATAACTCAGTAACTCTGGGAAAGTTAACTCTGAATGTCTTGGCTTCTGAAGCCAAGAATTTCCACCTTATTTTTTTTTTTTTTATTCCAGTTAAAATGCAGTACTACTATTTAAGGAAGCTCATAATGCTTTGTTGAATCCATGTGATCTGCAGTTTTAGTCTTTGCAGCTCACAGCCYGCTTGCCAGTTCTGAACATCCAGCAGGGAGCATTGCCAGGTGCAGAAGCTGCATAAAAGGGAGGCCTCATTCTGGAAGCAGCAAGAAACAGCTCTTTCTGAAAATAGGGGCCCGTGCTTAGTATTGGATCTAAAGTTGTTCTGCGTAGTTTGCTATGAAATAGCTCAAAATGGAAACAAATACAGGACTAGAGTATCATACCTTAAATTAAACTGTCCTTTTCCAAGGGATACATATACATGTACAGTTATTTGATGGGCAGGTATGAGCTTGCTCTGCCTACTTTGAGCTCACCTGAGGCCATGAGAACATACATCGTGGTGCCAATCCTAACCTGTTTGCTAGTAGGGCTTATTAGTTTATTGGCTGTATTCCCATACTTTTGGTCATTTTAAGAGGTGGGGGGAAGTTGCTCAATCAGCTTGAAAAGTACTCCTTGCTGGTAGCAGCACTATTCTATATGCTAGACTATGCACAATTTTGTATGGACTTTCTTTTGAAATGTGGTCATATTGACCTGAAGATTAACAGCTGGCATTTAAAGTAGCACACTGTATGTATCTGCTATCTGCATAATATTTGGGGTATTACTGCACATGTGCTAAAACATTTGAYGGCCGTTTCTTAAGCTTCCACAAGAGCTTTAAGTATAATTATTATAGCCATCTGTCTGGTCATGCTCTGTAACTCCATGTAAGAAAACGGACAGTATAGGTTTAAATATATTCTTACACTTCAAATTTATATATATTAAATGTATGAGAAGGTGGTATACTGTGTATTGGCTAATTTGGGTAAATTGGTGAAGTTTTGGCTTTCTGTTCCCTACTGCCTCAGTTTGATGCACATAGTATTRAAAGTGTGTATTTCACATGTATATGATTGACAGAAAATAAAGAGTACTGATGTACTTGAAAGTTCCTTACTTGACCACAAGAAGTGAACAAATGAGAAAGCATGAAAGCAGACCACTGTTGCATTGCAAAATACATGTAAGTGAAGCAGATCAATTAGATAGTGACCTTGTTTGYTTGTAACAGTATCAGCAAAGAGTGGAATTGAAGGGGTGAAAGCCAGGTGGAAAGGATTTATGATGAAATAGAAAAGGAAGTTGACTAAGTTTATATAAGCATGTAACTTAATGATCTTAGATGSTAATTGTTGAAGGGTCAAAAGGCTAGGAGAGACAAACTAAAATAGAATAGGAATTGGAATAGAATAAGGGAATTGGTGATCATGTGGAATTATTAGTCCTTTGATTTTAACTGTATTTAAAAAAAAATCGAGAGCATTTTTTGCCTCTTCTATTTGAAAAAATCTCTCAGGGAAGGTTTCTATACATTTTTTTCTATACAGGAAAAATCTTCAGAAAAGTTATCTTGCTGTTTGCTGTATGCGAGTGCTGGGTGGGACCATCACATCTTTATTTTCATTTTTTTGTAAGGTTATATATTAAAAGATGACAAAGTATTTAAAATGACTTGTATTATGTATGTTTAATTTCACTCCTTTTCTAAATTTGGCTGCTTCTGCTGCAAGTTCAGAATTGGAACATCTTGATATTTGGGTACAAGCATTACTTAGATGTATTTCTTCCAAGTGTGGGTCTTAAAGCTGTGAAAATGGAAGTGATGAAAGTGGAGTTTTAATCAGTAAGCATGTGGTATATGTGCTAGCACTAATTATCCTTTTTTATTATTTTTTTTAATTTAGTACACAGAAGCAGAAGCTAGGAAATTAGGAGTGGTTGGCTGGGTTAAAAATACCAGCAAAGGGACTGTAACAGGCCAGGTACAGGGTCCAGAAGAGAAAGTAAGTGCAATGTAAGTATCTTTGTATTTCTTATCCTCACTCATGTCACTTGCAGAAGTATTTTTAAACTTTCCAGAAGTTTACACATACTTAAAAAGTTGAGGAGATGCATGCTATTATAAGCTCTAAAAGTCTTTAAACTTTAAAAATAGCCTGTAGAGTCAGTTGCTATAAGTTCTCAGTCTAATACAATTTTTTAGAATTTCTTTAAAACGCCTGTTCTTACAAAGTGTGGAAAAAGCTTTTATTCATATGCATAAAGCATATAAATTATTTTAAAAAATACTTCTGTAAGAGTCTAAAGAACTTCTTGAAATGCATGCTCAATGTTCAACTAGAATCAATTTAAAGAAAACTAAGTGTTTTTAAATACAGTGTTTTAGGTATGATAATACACCCATATTTGTAGTAAAACCTTATAGTCTTTGCCAGCTCTAAGTGAATGTTGGAACTTTCTGGTGACTTCAAAAGAAGGCTGTGTTTTTCTTCAAACCTTTGGAAATATAATAAAGCTGTTATTCTGAGGAAACATTGCATGCAAAAGCACAAAGCCCARATCAGCTGTTTCAGACTTTAATTTTTGCAGGTGTATATAAAGAGATTGAGAACAAACCACTGAAATTTAAAAACCACCTTTTCTTTGGAAGTTGTGTTATGGGTGGGCATTATTAATGCAAACTAGGTCAGTGCTTTCACTTACAGGAATTGCTGCAAAACTAAGATAAAGTGAAGTTGACTTTTTGCAAGTAAGAGTTGCACTTTTTGATAAATAAGTTGATGCATGCTTTCCCTAATGTGGCAGAAGTATTTATAGTAATTTTCTTTGGTCTTCAGTTTCATTGTTTATTTTTGGTCTGCAAAGTGTTTGCCGAGCCAGAGAAACACTTGTTTCCTAGGTCAATTTTATATTTTTTTCCTTAAAGAGTTTTGTTATTCTGGTTAGATGGCACTGGTATGTAATTTACAAAATATTTTAACTAATTTAGAACATAGAAGAAGAACATGTGAGAAATCATGTTTTGTTTTTGTTCACTAAAGCTTTTTTAATACTTTTTTCTAAATCAGTTAATTGTTTCTAATTTAAACAGATTTATGTTGAAATTGTTTCTAATTTAAACAGTTTATAAGTTTAGCTCCTGATAGCTTCTGCATTTGCTGGAGCTAGTATTGATGTGGAATGCAGTGTTTTCTTTAATCCTTTTCCTTTAACTATTTGAATGGGTAGAATTGAAAAGAAAATTCTGGACAGAAAGCTTGTGTGTATAGTAKGGGACCTCACAGCAGAACTCTAGAGTAACAAAACTAGACTTGTTGCCTGTATACCACTACCTTACTAACAATTCCAAGCAAGAGAAGCTTTTATTTTTCAATATTACACAACTTTGAATAGGTGTAGCAAGCTGGACTGGCAGTTCAAAAAAAGGCATTAAGGTTTTAGATGTATAGGGTATATGATATGCAGAGCAAATAAAATGTCTTAAATTGTTGTTCATTTCAAGCTAGAAATAATTTTCCCTCTGATGTAGGAGTARATGTTGCATTCCAAAAGTTAGTATAATTTTCTCAAACTTTGAGATAAGGAGTGATAAGTCACTGATGTTAGTGAGTGAGTGTTGAGACAGAAACCAGTCCACTTKGGTTCTGTGTGTGGGCAAGTTTAGCTTTGGTATTATATTGATAAACTTGCACGTGAAGAGGAATTATAATACTATATATAAGCAGCCATTTTGAAATGCCACTTTTTTCTCTTTTTGTACATGTTAGTAGAAAATCAAAATCTGTTTGCATTACAGATTTTGAACAGTTTTTTCAAACCTTTCCAGAATTTAAAATATTCTTTCCTAGATACCAGTGTTTCAAGGTGATACATTAATAGAAATGATTAAACCTATTTATACATTCATAGAAACCATTAAACCTCAAATGCATTCCTATTAGTACTGTGATAAATAAGCAGGGAGAAATTCTTGCACCTGCTTTTACAGGAGTTCCTATTCTGTTTTGTATGTTTTTTCAAGATACTCAGCACTTAAAGGGACCATGTATATGATACTACTTAGAAACTGGAAATTTCATGGTCAGAGTTCTGTTTCAAAGAAAGAGTGAGTCACTCTTGYAAGACGTTTCAAAGCAAGTTCCCAGTGAGTGCTAATTCACATATTGGAGCAATGTGTTACTTCACTTGAGAAGAAGAAAAAAATTTCCAGAATAGTTTTCTATAGCTTTTGATAGCTGTCTTCAAACAATTTCCCTCAAAAGTTCCCAAATTCAACTTGAGCTATAAAAAGGCCTTATTTTCAGAGGTATAGCACCTGGAGTTTTTCCAGTCGCATACTAAAGCTACTAAAATCTTGTCAATTATTTTTCTGCTGTTGACTTAATGCTGGATTCTCTTTTAGGGGGAGAGGGTGGAGACATGGAGAAACGAAGGAAGGGACACCTTTGTTTATCATCACCTTTTTGGATTGCCATACCTCTTAATTCTGTGCTGTGTGCTTTCTAGGGTAGATGAATAGTATGAAAGAAGTATCCTGAACCACACAGAAGGATACTGACCTTGCTGGTTTATTAAAAACTGATAATCTTGGACTAGCACTTGGAATTCAGCCTGGCAGGCTTGAAAGTTTTAGGCTTTGTTTTGGTTCTGAATAGCTAATGGGAGAAAATGTTGGACAATGAGTTGGCCTTCATGTTTTATACTTCTCGTAGGTATCTTTGAATAGCTACTGTAAGAGCCATCTCTTAAAAACAGAAGAATTGTTTTTTCTCAAAGGGGCRTGAACAGACCCAAGTACCTATGTAGGTCTGAGATGCTTGAGGGGCTTGGAGAAGCTGTACCTGTGGTTTACCAAACTGAACTGTTGGTGAGTGCCTCTACAAACACTCAGGATTTTCAGTTTCTTGAAATTTGAGAGGGATTCTACAAATAAACATTCAATTCTAGAACGATAAGGTARGTGTTCCTAAATCATGGAGCTTAATAGTTTAAAAGCAAAACTTGTCTTTCCTTTGGCCTTGTGCTGAACCTTTCAAGCCTCGGGAGTGTCAAGGAGGCCTGTTTTCTTGTGCAGCTTTCTCAGGGCCTGTTCAGATGCATCACTGAAACCTGTTCAGCCTTCTAACTGGAGGGAAAAAAACTCGTTAATATTTAGAGATGTTAGAAGTAATAGAAGACACTTTGGGGGCGAAAAAAACAACCTCAACTTTGAGAGGAAGTATCTACTAAATGTGATAGTGGTTAGTTGAAGTAGACATTTGGTATTGAATTGGATTGCATTTGAAATTATATATAAACTGATTGAGGGTAAGAAAGATCAAAAGTTAAGAGTGGATGTTCYGAACAGAAAGTTATAGGTGAAATATAAGTAATTTTGGACTAAACTTTTCCTCTGGCAATGCTTTTTTGCTTAGAGTAATTTTTTCTGTAGGAATGGGTGTAATAAAACTTCTCATGTTCAAGACTAATATGAAACATTTTTGTTAAACATATTTTGTTTCTGTCCATTTTGCATTACTGTATCAAAGTTGTGATCTAATTAATCTTAATTCTGTCCTAATCTGAAAATCTGCTTTGGGTGATGCTTGTTACTTCCCTTTTCATATACTTTCCTGCTTKAGTCTAATAAGATGAATCATTAAAAATCTGGCTAGGCAGAGCATATAGTAGTGTGAGAGCAGACTTAGCAATCCCTTCTGGTCCATACAGAAGATACAGAAATTTAGGAAAGCTGAGAAAAGATCGAAGGGGATACATGTGGGAAGAATATACTTGCATAAATGAAGACTGAGAAAAAAAAATACATTTCTCATGATAATGAAAGAAACAAGAACATAGCCTGAAAAGAGCAAGGAAGCCAGGAAAACCTGCTGTTCTACAACAGGCAGATAGAAGCAGCTAGACWGGAGGAGGACCAAGGGTAAGTGCTCCTGAGAAGAGGTTAGAGAAAGTGTTAAAGAAGAGGCAGATCTACCCTGCCAGAAGTGTGGAGTGAATATCAAGGCCTGCCTTGTTACAGAGCTGTAATGCTGCAGTGTCTAATGCGAATGGTTCTCTGGCAGCAACCTCTTATTTCTAGTTTTCTGACCTGTTTTTCTTTTACTTTTGTCTTGTTTTGTGTAGCTTTGCAAGGCAAAGCTGGGAAGGGTCCAGCATCTGTCAAGAAAAAGTCCTATATAGGCTGCGAGGTAATATATAATCTGGGAACGAATTATGAGGATCATCCTGGTGGTCTATTTTAGGTATCAATATAAAGTGTTCATAGAATTTAGGTAGAGTGATGGGAACCAGCAGAAGGCAAACAAGACAAAGCAGGAGAGTTGGAGATGCTGCTACCTATCTGTACTTAGAGTTCTCTGATGAAGTGAGAGCCCTTGGGCCATCTGCTGTGAAGGTCACCTGGCTTGGTGATTAGTGACAAGTGCACCTGGCACCTGCAAATGCTGTTGAATAGTTGAAGTTCACTTTAACTACTTTAATATGGAGTCATGTGTGGTCTCTGTTGCCTTCCTATAAATACACATGCAGACTTTCATGTTCTGTCATTAAAAGAAGCTATATGTGGTAAATGGATAAAATTAGTTTTGKTCAGAAAATACTGTATTAAAGCAAAAGGTTCATGAAAAGCACAGAAGACAGGAATCTTGCAAGAAGCAGTGGTACTGATACTAAGTTCCTTTTATGCTGTGAAAACATCAAATTGCTTTACACTTTTTGAGAAAAGTTTCCATAGGTTTTCCTATTAAACAAAACGGAAGAAACATTTTCCCTGATCATGTCTTTGGAGAGCCCTGACTAGTCAAKCTCAATGTTGCTGCTTCATTAGGGAGGTCTTACAGTTCAGGAGGCTGCTGGAGGTGGAATACAGAGGCAGTGGTCTGAGGGTATAGCTGCTTTCCATCYCTGGAGGCAAAATTGCTGCCCTCTTTTGCCAGAGCCTGGTGTTASGCAGTGCACTGCAGCCTGTGTTTTCTAATCTGTGAAAGTAATTATTTTCCTGCTAATGTGGGCTAC